GACTCCCGAGTCCACCGCGGCGCCCGTGAGCCTCGCGGCCATACCCAGTCCGCGCCGACAATGCGGGTGCTAGCCCGCATCCCGCCCCGGTACCGGCTGACCGCGGGACGCGGGGTTCTGTTCAACAGCTCTACCGCTGGACACCAGGCCACGTGGCGCTTCGGTGCCGGCTGACCGCGGGACACGGAGTCCTGTCCAGCAGCTCTCCACGCTGCCGCTGGCTGTGGTCAGCAACAAACCAAGGCGCAGCACCGCCCTACAGCCAGAGTGAGACGGAAAAAAACTCGCGCCACGGCGACAATCAAGCCGGCGGCAGCACGTCACATCGCGGACTCCAGTCTTGACTGATACGCGCTAGCTGTCAATGGTCGCAGACGCCAGCCCAGTCATACTTTTGGGCGTTGTTTAAGCCTTGGAAGCCTTAAGGAAACTTGTTATCAAGGAGACGGACGGTGAAACGTCAGTTTTGGTTCTCAACCTCATCGGAAAGTTTCCGTTCCCCATATGCATGACATCAAAATTGCATTCTAACCGAAGTAGCACTGTTATTGAAAGACCATTACCAGTGAAGTAATAATGATATATGACACTTTTACTGAGCTGTAGTTGGTCCTCAGTCATTTTTGACGGTGAATCAGGTTCAGAACACTTAAACAGGCCTCCGTAATTTGCAAACTGCCGTTTTGTGCCTCAGAAGTTACTTTTTCACTTCGCGCTGCAACGCATTGTCAACTATGGGTTCGTACGCATTGTTTACTCCGCGTTGCCAAAACATTATTTGCTTTGCGTTCCCAAGCATTATTTAGTTCGCGTTTTCAAACATTGTTTACTTGGCGTTCCCAAGCATTGTTTAATTCGTGCTCCCAGGCATTACTGTTGGCATGACCTGGAGGGGCGCGTACTGCCCTTAAGAGCAGTGTTCCACGTTTGTATGGGGCTCTGACATGAGATATTATTCGGTGCAGTTCACACTCATGCCTCCTCAAACACCTAAGCCCCTTCAGTTTCGGAGCTCCCCAGCAAAGATGTGCGCTTTATCGGGGAGGTTATTTCAAGGCCACCCAGGTATCTACGAACCCATGACAACTTCAATCAAATGCTGCCACTCCAATGCCCATGCAATGATCAACGCAAATAGCATACGATTGTCGACTCGTTCATATCTGACGTTCATAACCACGACTTCCAAACATAATGACGGCCAATTGGCTCACAACAGCAGCTGTGCAAGGTACGATGACGTAAACCAGCAATGACGTATTGGGAAGGATATTAACCAGACAACACATGTTGCCTAGAGCAGCCTTTGCAACTTGAAGGTATAAAAGTGAGCTTTAAAAGCATTATAAGTGAGCTTATTTCATCGTATTTTTTAATGTCTTTAAGCGTGGAGCATTCTCTTTTAGGGGTTCAATCGGACACAAGGCATACATTCTTTGAACACAAGGTTGTCCACCGATTTTGTTTGGCATTTCTAGCTTAATGTTTGGCCAAAAGGCGAGGGCGTGCTTACCACCTGAACTTGCCAACATGACCCTATACATCCTAATAGCTCCCAACCAGTAACGGTTGGCGCTGATGAAGATTTATGTATTTTTATAACGGAAGCATGCGACATAAGCTTTGGTTTGGGAACGGGCTGTGAATGTGATTTAGGTACTGGAGAAAGGATTGGTGTCCTATGACAATGACATGTTTTCGAGCATTGTGTTATGGTCAGCTCGTGTTCATGTGATACAATGTGGGTTAGTTCTCAATACCAGATGTTGTTGCCAGCAGATATGCCAACAATATGTTGTTGCCAACAGACGCTGATGCATTGGGAACTGTGAACATACAAGCACACTTCTTTTGGAAATTAGCGTTCGCAATTCGTTTCTGTTCATAGGCCCCAACACCCGAGTTGAGAGCTCGCGCCTGTCGCCAGCCGGAGGCGTACGGTCGCCGATCGAGGCGCGTCGGGCGCCGCGTGACCGGCTCACCCGGCAGCGAGTGGTACCTCACGATACGGCCACCCGACAGCAGCGTCGGACACGCGTGTCCTCACCGTGCGCTGTCCCGCTCACCAGCCATGTCAGCGCTGCCAGGCAGAAATGATGCGCAGCGTTCCAATCCACCACTAGTTCACTCACGCAGTGCCGATTCCCGCTGTCTTACCGAGCATATTCCGGCCCGTTGACGTGTCGCCCGCTTCGGGTCCGTCACATCGCGTTGGCGAATAGAACGATCCAAAAATTTCCGGTGCCCCGTTAGAATAGTCTACTCTTACGTACGCAGGCACAAGCAATCCTGAAAACCAGCCATTTGAAAAGTTACACTGTTTTGCCAACACCCAAATAAACATACAACGTGACTTTGAAATCAAACTTGGCTAACAGTGGCCGATTTTGTGACATATTTTTGACGTTACTTCATTTTCACTTCGACATCACGTGAGCTTAATCTGTAGCGGACTTCATGCGGGCTGTAACCACACCCCCACCCCGACAAAGGATGTCAAATAGGTCCACCATCCTACCTATTGTGCTCGAGAATGAACCCTAACTAAGATCCCAAACCAGACACGACTGCTTAATCGATTTCGTGGCTACTTTTCCCCTGACTTGGAGATCAACTCCTCACGTTTGACGTTTAAGCTCAGAATTATGTTGGCGAAGTGCCAATTTGAGACCACTGATATCGGTCACTTTTAACATGAAGGAAATACGCCTTTTTTCACCCCATTTTCAAAAACGCCTGGTTCCGCCCCCCCCCCCCCCCCAAGACAAATTGTTTAATTCCCAGAAATGGTAGGTTAAGATACAAGCGCACCAATGTATATCAACAACGATCTTCGATTACACCGGGCACGTCACAAAAATCTGACCCTTATGGTAATGTGATGACATTTACCAACCGAACCATAGCCTGGTCATCAGCTATACTTCATCACTCACACACTCCTCGCCATGCATTACGCCGCTGCCATCGTGCAGGTCCGCCGCCGCTCACAGCACGCCTGCCCCTCGCCAGAGCACTGCTGCTCCGGGCGGCAGGAGTGCCCTGACATCCGGCGGCCCGAAATAGCTACCGCCCGCGCAACATCACCAACAGTGTTTGCTTAGCGCCGCGAGCATACACGGGGAAATATTGGACAGCATCTGCCACGGGAGAATGCTCGCCGGCGCGCTCGAGCGGAGGCCAACAGCGCAGCAGGCTCACCACCGGCGCCGGCGACAGGCCCAGCTCGGGGCGAGCAGACGACCACACGGAGCCAGCGGCGCGTGTAAACGGCCTGCATACGCCGGCGCGTCGCCGCTCCCCTCCCGCCGCGCCTGCAGTGTCGCCTGCAAAATGGCGCCGCGTCGGTGCCGCCGCGGCCGGTCGGTCGCCAAGCGGCGCGCAGTCAGACCGTGCGTGAGCGGGTCACCGGCGGCGCGTGTTGACGCCGCGGCCGGCCGGCCGCTGAGCGGCGCGCCCTCAGACCGCGCGTGAGCGGGTCACCGGCGGCGCGTGTTGACGCCGCAGTCGGCCGGCCGCTGAGCGGCGCGCCCTCAGACCGTGCGTGAGCGGGTCACCGGCGGCGCGTGTTGACGCCGCGGCCGGCCGGCCGCTGAGCGGCGCGCCCTCAGACCGTGCGTGAGTGGGTCACCGGCGGCGCGTGTTGACGCCGCGGCCGGTCGGTCGCCGAGCGGCGCGCCCTCAGACCGTGCGTGAGCGGGTCACCGGCGGCGCGTGTTGACGCCGCGGCCGGTCGGTCGCTGAGCGGCGCGTCCTCACGACCGTGCGTGAGCGGGTCACCGACGGCGCGTGTTGACGTCGCGGCTGGTCCACACGCCCGTCGCGTCATGCCAACGTCGCGAAACGCGGCCCTTGTGAGCGCTCTTCATGAGAGCGATAGCCGAAAAAATATGTTACAGAGACATGACCAATCATGTTGGCACTTGGGGGCAGTGGAGCGGATGTTTCCATTCTGTCTCCAGTTCCAGCAGATGGAAAATCCGCATTAATTGCGCTTCTAGCCCGACGCGACGACGACAGATCCGCCAACAAGACCGGAGTCAGACCTGAGCCGACTCCCAGACCGACGCCAACCAGGACCTAAGCCACCACAGGACCTAAGTCACCACCGGACCTAACAGCGGCTCCGAGCAAACACCGGACTTGAGTCAAAACCGGACCTAAGCCAACACCGGACCTAAGCCAACACCGGACCTGAGCCAACACCGGCTCTCAACCAATGTCAGACCAGCACCAACACCGAACCAGTCACCACCCGACCAAAGTCACCACCGGACCGGCCCTGAGCAAACATCGGACCTGAGCCAAAACTGGACCTGAGCCAACACCTGACCTGAGCCGACACCGGACCTGAGCCAACACCGGCTCTCGGTTAATGTCAGACCAGCACCAACATCGGACCTGGGCCAGCACAGGAGCTGCGCCAACACCGGCTCTCAGCTAATGTCAGACCAGCACTAACATCGGACCTGGGCCAATACAGGAGCTCCGCCAACAACGGCTCTCAGCCAATGCCAGACCAGCGTCAACACCCGCAGTGTTAAAAAATTCGCTCAGTTGGGTGTCAGACATGCAAATTTTGATTCATGTCTTAAGTTACCTGGCCGCCTCCGGCCGACGTTTCTTCGGCTGCTAATTCATTGCCCTTTGACCCCGAGCCGTGACATTCTGACCCGATACTGGGCTGACCATGGTCCAGCTCGATGTTAAATCGGCCAAACTTGGCGACGTGAGGAGCAACAGACCCCAAGAACCCCGAGCCGAAGTCGCAACCGCATGAAAACCATCCGCATCCTTGCCCTCAAAATGAACAAATATTACCACTCTGCAACACTGGACTCGCACCAGAACTAGATCTGAGCTCGCATCGAACTTGCGTCAGCACTGCCCTCGAGCCACCACTGGACTGGATCACCACCGGACCTGCACCACCTCCGACCTCAGGCCGGCGCCGGCACCGGGCGCGTGCAGCACGCCGCCGCCAGCGGAGCTGCCCTCACCGTATCCGTCATCCTGCCGGGCCGGCCGACGGCGACACACCTCTGCGTACAGCATGGCCCCGCCGTCGCCCCAGCCCGCCCGCCGGCGACTGGCGCCACACGGCGCCGACGAGGCCGCTGCGGCCGGCGCGTGGGCGGCGCGGCGCGTCTTCTTGCGGCCCGTCGCGCCGCCGCGCCGCGCCCGGCCTAATTGCATTGCGAGGCGGCGGGGCACGATAGTACCGAGAGGAGGGGTCTGTTGGGCAGCGGGGCAGCACGCGACGCCGCGGTGCCGCTGCCATCGACCAGTACAACCAATGAAAAATGCGCGCTGAAGATGAGCGGTGGGACGCCTGACAGGCGGCTTACTTGGCGCAATGCGAACCCTGAGCCGACAGTCGATAACACAACATGTGTTGGACGCACGCCCTGTATAGTGTTCTAACACCATACAGGATATTGGCAGGGGGTCGCACCAGTCCATCGCATCTCTTCGCTGTTGAAAGGCTGCGATTGTGAAACAACAAAGCTAAGGGTACCTCCATAGTACACTCTGGCTGAAATGCACGGTGGTGGTCCGTATCTGAACTTTGGTTTTGGCTCTTGGCGAGAGAACAAAATTCTAAAATCACGGCTTGTAGTGAGAACAAAATAGCCCCGGTGAATTTGCACTGTGTTCACAGCTGGCACTGAAGGATATTGTTTGGCCGCACACGATAATAAACATCACGCTCCAGCTGGTCTCAGCGATTGCCAAATATCATTACAGATGGACTGCTTGCAATTCTTAAATTTTCTAGTTTCCTAAATAAGTGCTTCCTTCCACGTATCTGCTCACACCCATTGTATTTTTTTGAAAATCTCTTTTAAAGGTGTGAGTCTCAAATAAGGCTAAAAAACCTATGCCTAAAATGCTGTGCACCTGTTGAACAATGTCCCAGAACACACTATGACAAATTTATAATTGAAACGTCATGCAAAACACAATAATAAAAATGGGAGCATCTGGGGCATAGCAGTTAGTGCAGCCACGTTGTAGCCAAGGTATAATCTTTCTCACCTAAGGGATAGGTCCTGGGGCAATGCGATACCCACCCAGGCCTTTATTGACCAAGACATGCTAAACTTAGGACCAGGGTGTAGTAACCTATTTGGTTGGATTGGATGTCAGCCCTCCCCCAACTTTGAGAAGAAACTTGGTCAAAATCAGGGAAAACATGGTTGACACTTTATTTGGGCTCTGAGATTCCCCTGTCCACCCACCCCACAACGTTATGTAAGAAAACTACACCATCCAGGACGTCAGGCTGCTGCGTGATCGGGGCTCGGAGGTCAATGCAGCAAGGGCGGAGGAATTGTTTCCTCCTCGTAGGGCAAGCCTGCAGTACAAAGTTAGCATTGTTACATCTACTTACCGACGTTGAGTCTGATACAATACTTTTCTTAGTGTGTGACACTGACCAGCATTTATATATTGTCTTTATCTATACCACCAACCAATCGCGCTATCACGGTTCCGCACGCGGCTCCTCCAAAAACCAAACACCAGAATGCTACATAAAAGCGGCGCACGGAATAGCCGTCTTCAACGACAGAGCAGCTGCAAGTTATTTATCGGTTTTGATCTTGCTTTTTAGGGCCTAAATTATTTTGTAAACATCGGCAAATTGATTCATTGGCAAAAAGCGACTCAAGTAAAAGAAAGATCTCACAAATGCTAATAATTGTACATGTTTTTATTTAATGTCTTTTGATGCGTTTTCATCATGCATTAAGCTTGGATTTCTTGGTGAAGAATATGACTTCTCTTCACCGCTAAATCCTCATCAAGAGGCGGAAACCCGCGGGGCCGCGGATTTCCGCGTGCCGAGTGTTTGCGAAAGTACAGCTCTAATTCTATGCAATCTCCATTTTTGAGAGCTTCAAATGCAGATTTCATGAGGATATTGTCTAAAAAGGATCAAAAACATTCTTATCAATATGTGATCAATTCGCACTACATTCTGGGGCATACGTTAGTGTGCACCATGTACGTTCATATCAATTTGTATTGTGTCACAATGACTTCCACGTGCAATCCAGAAACGTTGAGCCGTGACGCATACGAGATGTTCTGTTCTCTCGCTCCTCCCCGGCCCGTCAAGAGATGCTGTTGTTGTTTTGAGTGCGAGCTCGGGCCCGCCATCTGAGCGCGTCAGTGTCGTTGGTGGACGGTAGGAGGGTTAAATGGGTGCTGGTGAGCAGCGACGGACCTGGACACTATGCACTGAAAGGAAAGATTGTGTGTTAGAAAGATTCGGCTGAAGCCCGCCAGCAGTGTGTGAATCATTGGGGCTTTACGACGCACTCTGCTGCTGAGGCTATATGGCGCCGCCTGCCTCTCACCCTGGCAGGAAGGGCGGGAACCGCGGGGAATCGAACCCCGTGCCCCTGGTTTCCCAGACGCGCAGTGGTTAGCGCGGACGCGTTAACCACTACACTATCGGCACCCCCAAGCCCGCCAGCAGTATCGCTCGTTTAGTCGTGGGTGTGGCACGCGATGCTGCCGAAATTTCGGGAACAGTTTGCCTTCATCGCACGTTGCTCACAGAGAACAATTTTTATAAACTTTCCAGTGTGTACTCGTGGAGACCAAAATTTCTAGAGGCTAAATATACCGATAAACACCCAAGTTTCAGATACTGGTGCTAGCCCCTGTCATTCCAAGCCAACAGACATACGTGCGCATATGCATCTTATTACGCAAAGACAGCCTCGTTCAAGGTAGCGATCAGCCCCCCCCCCCCCCCCCCCAGTAGAACTTTTCTCAGTAAGTTCTTTTTAGGCAGCCCTGTCTTTTGCTGAACTGTGGATTCAGATCAAGATGATACATACTCCCAAACACTACGCAGGCTAAATCTTTGCTTCTGCACAACCAAACCAAAAGGAAACTTGGTTATCAATTGAGAGTGGCGCAGCTCTACAAATACGAGAAAACAACAGAGCCGCACAATTTGAGCTGCACGACTATCTGCCGAAAACCCCTCGCCATTCATCAACAAAGATTGTTCGCTCGCCAAAAACGCTACCAATCGGACGCCCGGACCGCAAAACACGGCAAACAGCGCAGCCATTCGGCAGCAGCGTCCCCGATCGCCGTAGTGTCCGACGGGCGTTCCTCGACGACGCAGGCGGTACGTGGCGGCCTCGAACGAATGGCCGTGATCACCCCGGGAAGCTTTAATCGTGCACTTCATCGGCCGACCACCGCCGAAAAACCAGGAGGCCAACTGATGCGGAGCGCGGCGCGGCCTGGCGGCGCGACGCCTTCATCTCAACCCAGAGACGTAGTGCGAGACGGACGCATCACTGGGAGCGTGGTCTCAGCACTGCAGCGGCACAGATTCACAGGTTCTGACCAGACGGACATGCCCGGCATGGGATAACTACGAGAACACGGAGGTCAGAGCAGACAACAGCGTGCGGACTGCACCAGTCGGTGGCTTGCTGGTCTGAGGGCGGAAAGGGATGCTGTATCAGGGACACTCGCATTAACCACAACGCCGGTGTGGCTTGTGCCAACAACTCCTCTCTGAGATAGTATATATATATATATATATATATATATATATATATATATATATCCACTGAAAGACTAGGGCAGAAGCTCTTCTCGCTATGCTGCATGTGGCCATCAACTGACAACTGCGCGAGGGGGTGGGGGAGACGAGAAGAGCCGTGCATGTGGGAGAGAGAGAGGGCCAGGAGAGAATACACCAATGAGGTGTCTCACCCACGCCTTTGGTGGCGCCCACAGTAGACAGGAGAGCGGCGCCCGAGAGCGGCTGCGGCCAACATGCTCCCTCCGGTCCACTGTCGGGCGGTTACGGGGAGGGGGGGGGGGGGCGTCGGTCGCCGGTCAGTGGCCGGCCTCCGGGCGCGGCCATCGGGTCAGCGGCCGGCGCCCGGTCAGCAGCGACCCGGCCAACGGCGCCAACGACCGCCACCCGCTGGCCGGCCAGCGCCAACACCCACTACCCGACGGCACATCGGCTATCCACCCCGCGTGGCTCGTCCAGCGCCGGCGACCTGCGCCAGCCGCCTCCCGTTCGGGCGACCGATGCTATCAATCGCTTCATGTTTCGGTTGTTATTAGTTGGGCAGGTGAGCATCCGTGCCGCGCTGGCCGTCGCTCAGCTGGGCTTGACTGGGCACCTGCCGGTCGCTCGTCGGCCGCAGCACTGCATACTCACCGCGCACGGTCTCACACTGCGCGGCCAGGGTCTCGCCCCCTCCCCACCCACCCACACATCCAACGCGGCCGGCAGTGCCGGCAGTCGTCGCCCCGAGCCTGGCGCCCGGCTGGGCCGGTACGCGGCGGGCGCTCGGGCGCCGGGCTCGGTCGCGCGTCAGGCCACGGCATCGGGCCTGTCCGCATTGACGCTGAAGCCCGATCTGGCAGAGGATCTCAGCCGGCATTGTGAGGTGCCCATTCAGGTCGACCACCGCTGGCGGCCCAGTCTCGTATTGATTGTCGGAGATCACTGGCGGACCACACGACTCCGCGTGATGCTGGCGGAGAGCGCCACACCGACCCCATATTGCGAAAAAAAGAGAACATAATGTACGGGTAGGTAGGGCGAGGCTTAAGCTTAAGCACACGCTAATATCGCTGTCTGAGCTGTAGTGTCGATGCGCCAAACCCGACTGAACATAAGTAGCGCAGGGTATCATTTGCCGGCCTTGTGGCATATGGCGCGCACGTTCGTCGAGACCGTCGAGGGCGGAAAATGCACCTCGTATCTCCTCTGGTGGACACGCGCTTCTTTCCGTGCGCATAAGTTTACGCTTGTAGTAACTCTGGTATCAAAGCCGCCGAAACCCAACGGATTTGTCAATCATACTCGCTCTTATTTCGCGGAGCGAATGACCCCCAGTCCGCAGCGGACCCCTTCTTGACAAATCTGGTCCCAAGCCATACGCCACGACAGCTCAAGCAACGTTCATGCGTCCATTCCCATCCACCCATTCGACAGCAGTCCGGTCAATTGCGCGATAACCAAACCCACCAACTGGTGGAAGCCCCGGCACACCCACCCTACCAACTGGCGGGAGCAC